ATGCCCACTACATCCTCTTCAACTCTATTAAATTGTCCTTTAGTTGTTGATCTCACCTCTTTTTCTCCATTGACATACAAAAGTCAAACACAAATGAGTTCATCTAGCTGTCCACTTGTTATTGACTTGCACTCATCACTGTTTCCTACTGAAAAACACCCACTGCATATCTCTTCCACCAATACACATCCCATGCAAACTAGAGCCAAGACAGCCTCCCAACAAGCCCTTAGTACTTCAATTTTTCCTCAATTTATTAATCCTAAACCTACAGCCTCCCAAAACACTAATGACACTAAACCTACAGCCTCCCAAAACACTAATACTCTTCAGCCACCATCTCAACATACCACTGCCTTTATCATTTCAAAACCTGCTTCTTCACCACCTGTTCATTCAGAACCAAACACAGTAACAGAAGCACTAGCTCATCCTAACTGGAATAAGGCAATGCAGGAAGAGTTTAATGCTTTAATGGCTAATGACACTTGGGTATTAGTTCCTAAAACATCAGATATGAATATTGTTGGCAACAAATGGGTCTTTAGAACCAAGTTTTATGCTGATGAGAGTTTACAAAAATATAAGGCTAGATTAGTAGCCAAAGGTTTCCAACAAACTCCAGGATTGGATTACTTTGAAACCTTCAGCCTTGTTGTCAAACCCTCAACTATCCATATTATCTTTTCTCTAGCTGTCTCCAAAGGATGGGATATACAGCAAATTGATATCAATAATGCCTTCCTCAATGGCATTCTAAGTGAAACGGTTTTTATGAAACAACCTAAACATTTTGAGAGTTTTCAGTATCCCTTTCATGTGTGCAAGCTTAAAAAGGCTCTTTATGGTCTTAAACAAGCCCCAAGGGCCTGGTTTGACAAACTTAAGTAAGCCTTGTTGGACAGAAAATTTGTGAACTCGATTTCTGACTCAAGTTTGTTCATCTACAAGGATAACTCTCAGGTTTTGTATGTCCTTATTTATGTGGATGACATACTTGTAACTAGTTCAAACACATCATCAATTCTGCAACTTATTAAAGGATTGAATCATCATTTTGCATTAAAAAGTCTTGGATCAGTTTCTTATTTCTTGGGATTGGAAGCAACAAGAAATTCATAAGGGCTTCACCTAAAACAAACTAAATATATCACTGATCTTCTTGTTAAAACAAAAATGCAGGATGCTCATTCTTGTCCAACACCTAGGCTATTGGAAACAAGTTGTTTATAGGTGATAGTGAGTTATTTCAGGATTCTAGTCTCTATAGAAGCACTATCGGAGCCTTACAATATTTGACTTTAACTCGGTCGGACATAAGCATTACAGTAAATAAGCTAAGTCAATATCTTCAATCACCTTCTGAACTTCAGTGGCAGGCATGTAAAAGAGTGCTAAGATACATCAAAGGCACTCAGTTTCATGGGTTACAATTCAGACCAGTTGCTTTTATAAGTATAGAGTGCTATGCCGATGCTGATTGGAGAAGTAACTTAGATGACCAGAGATCCATAAGTGGGTACTGTGTTTTCTTAGGTCCCAATCTGATTCAATAGAGTTCTCAGAAGCAAAAAGTGGTGGCTTTATCCTCAACAGAAGCTGAGTACCGAGCACTTGCACACACAGCTACTGAACTAGCTTGGCTGGACAGCTTGTTTTCTGAGTTGGGAGTTGTCTTGAGCTTTTCACCAGTAATCTGTTGTGATAATATCAGTGTTGGAGCATTGGCAGCCAATCCTGTTTTTCATACACGCACAAAGCATATTGAGATTAATCCTATTGTTTGATTGGTGAATGCAGAATTTGTTTGATTGGTGAATGCAGAATTATTTACTGATTGAAGGGTTGTTTGATTGGCGAATGCAGAATTATTTTCTGCTTGCTATTGAATCGTTGATTGACTGTTGTTGAGGGGTTAATTGACTGATTGAATGCAGCATTGTTTGGTTGTAGAATTGCAGATTTGTTTGCACAAATTGAAGAACTGATTGTTGTTGAAATGCAGAATTATCTGCACAAGAAGTTGCACAACTGATTGTTGTTGAAATATGGTTGATTGAATGTTGTTGACGGGTTAATTGACTGATTGAATGCAGCATTGTTTGGTTGTAGAAATGCAAAATTATCTGCACAACAAGTTGCAGAACTGATTGTTGTTGAAGTGCAGAATCATCTACACAAAGTGCAGAATTAGCACAAATTGCTGTTGAAATGCAGAATTTTTTTGTCTTTTATTGATGAAATGCAGAATTGTTTGGAGAATTGCAGAATCTGCTTGCTGTCCAGAAGAATTGAAATGCAGAAATTTTTGTTGAAATCTTTTATTGGTGAAATGCAGAATTGTTTGGAGAATTGCATAATTGCATAATCTGCTTGCTGTCCAGAAGTTTTTGCTGTTCAGAATTGTTTTGCAACTATCCAGAATTTTTTTGTTGCAAGAGCTGAGATTAATCCAAGAAGAGATAGTATGAATTGAGGGGGAATGTTAGCCACAAAATGAGTTGTTTTGAAAAGGGATAGTATGGCTTAAGGGGGAATGTTAGTAAAAGGTCATTTGTGTAATTGCAGTGTTTTGTTTCAAAGTGGTGTCGTTTTGGTCACTGTTTATCTTTACTAAAGTTCAGTTTAGCTCAACTCTCTAACTTTACTCTTTAATGTTACTAAAAGTTCAGAGCAGCTCTCTTTCTCTTAATATTAAAGAGAAGTTGATCTCTTGTACAAGTAGTTAATCAAATTTACCAGATTTGCAGTTTTCTTCAAAGTTCTCTTTACTCTTTCTTTCTTCTTTCTTTGAAACTTTTAGTATGCACAAGCTGACCCAGAGACCTCGGTGATATATATATATAGTAAAATCTCTTTATAGTCATAATGTTGGGACCAACTAAATTTATTAATATGAGGAGGTTATAACTTAATAGAGGTGTAATTACAAGAATTATTATTTTGATAGTATGGAAATGAATATCAGAGTCATTACAAAATTGAGTGATCAGATTTAACAAATTCACTACACTAATCAAATGGATATTAATATCTTCCTTAATCATCCAAATAAGCAATAAGTCGTGTATGCTTTAACTGAAGAAGAAATCATTATTAGAATTAGACAAGAAGAGGAATGAGATAATCCTGAGGATGAATATAGTACGGAAATAGCAAAAGTTTCGTGCCAAGAAGCTCCAGACATGTAGCTATAAATATTTTGGCTTCAACAAAAGGATGTCCATGTTGGCTACTTATTACATGCCTGCAAGATAAAAGATATGGTAACAACTCTAAAACATAAATCATTGTCTCAAACAACTTTAGATAAATATTTATTTCATCTCAAACATTTAATGTAATATAATATTTTTTTTTTTTTATAATATACATACAATTATTACTATGCAGAGGCAAGTTCCTTAAAACGAGACCTTGAAAAACTACAACTTATTACAATGTAAAATTTATTCTTATTTATAACATAATCAAGTTGGGACTGTAATTTTTTATGACTACATGGAGGTTGTTCTTATATGAAATACCACTATAAAGAGGTTCTACTGTATATAATTTCTATACATTTGGGTTAGCTAATATGATAATCCCTATTCCAAGTTTTGAACTCGATGGTTGTTTATAAATTATGACTAATGAAACAGATACCATACACACAAGCTAAAATTTTATAACTACTGTATAATAAAATATAAATAAAATGTTCAAGACAATAATAACTTTAATTTTCATACCAAATTATATGCATCAATTTAGTAAAATCTAAGGATTTAGAAATTACTAGGTGTCTCAATTTACATACGGGTTAGCATCACATAAACTCTTAATTAATATCTTGCTTCAACATCAGGATCTGGGTATTAAAACTGTTTTTAAGAGACCTAATCAAAAAGAACATTCCCTTGTTAATATATAATATATTATATTTGTTTAATAAGATTTTATAAATCTGAATTAATTTATACTTGATATTTTTTTTTTCACTCACAATAAATAAAAAAGAAAGAAAGCACAAAAAATTCAAAAAGAGAATATATGCAGTGGAATTGTCTGGAGGGAACAAAGTTTCCACAGTGTCTTGATATATAACAAATCATCGATTTATGCATGAATAATATGATATGCATAAATCTGACCCTCCTTCACACACACACACACACACACACATACACACCACAACAACCAACGCGCCCCACGCCGCAACCCCCCCCCCCCACCCCGCTCCCCGGCGCGGTAACGGTGGTGGTCTGGATAGATATTTTCAAATTGGAAGAAGTGAAACATAATTATTTTTAGTTGAATAGAGTTAAAAAAAAAAAAAAAAATGTGTTTTGAATTGAATAGAATATAATTTTTATTTTGAGATAAAAAAATCCTATTTGAGTTAGATTAATTTTCTGAATGAATTGGTTCAATAAATAAACAAACACATTATATTTTTCGATCTAAATATGATAACAGCATAATGATTCGAAATAGTATAACAATCAGGGGCAAAACTTTTTATCATAACAATACAATATTCTTTATATTGTGATTATTTAATTACACTGGCATACAAAGAAGTTTTCTACCCAGTTCAATCATTTTAATTTGCCAAAATAAATTTTAGTTAAATTCTTAAGAAAACCCATAAATCAGCAAGGAAGACGTCATTAATTATTTGTGAAGAAATGGTTCTCGATGTGATACAAATCAAAATATTAATTGGTGATTAAAAATGATCTTCACAATTTTTACGAACTTCGTGGATAAATTGACATAGAAACAGGTTTCTTGATTATTGCAATTAGTTTGTACTTGGAGTTGGAATAGATCTCCCTATGAAGAGGTATTTATAGGCAGAGCAAATGGACAACTAGCTAACAGTAGAAATCAAATAACTGAATGCTTGATGACAGCATTATATATAAATGTTTTCAACAGAACAAGTTTATTTTATTATTGCTTGAAAACACAGTAGATTCGCATAGAAGATAATTGATGAATGGTAGTAAACTTTAGAGCTGTACGGGGTCCCTGAGCAATGAGGCAACATGGTCTTTTGTCAAATAAGAATTGGTGTAGCAGTCATCATCTTTCTAGAGAAGGTCTATTACACGTGTAAAATTAAGAATCCGTTCAAGCAGAGGCAGTGGAAAAGCAGTTGGTTTAAGGAAAGCTTCATTTATATCTTTCCATGCATTTGCAATTTGCTCACGAAACACTTTAAGTGTCTCTTCTTCCGAAACACCATGGTCCTTCATGTGACATTCAATTGCTGAGACAACATGTCCTCTCTTTTGCTCATGCTATTCCATTTATATGCAAAGTCAATCGTTAAAAATATATATTGATCATTTCTGAATTAATTAATTAATTTAGTTCAGTATGTACCTTGTGACCCACTATGTCATCCATGAGTCTGCAAATTATTGAGGCAGCCTTCAAAACCTTAGGGTAGCTGAATAACCATTCAAAGGCTTCTTTGGTTGCAACATCTCCCATTCCTACAAAAGATGTTGTGGTTAACAATTGGTACGCACTGGTAACCAATGCTACACTCATGTACTCATCCAGTGTTGGAAAATATTTTTCATGACACCATTTGGCTTCAGTATGATAATTTCTAACTATACTCTTCATCTGTGAAACCAAAAATCCAATTCGAAATTATTAGTACAAGTACTAAGAATCCAATAGTACGTGGTTTTAAACTACACAAATTAAAGGCTTGAAATGAAAGCATCACTGCTTCTTTTGCAAAATCAAGGCGGTATAATTTTCCTTGATCCGCCATTTCTTGTTCAATTTCACTGTAAATATCAAGAAGAGCCTTATAACATAGTTTCATGTAGTCAGGCAGTTGATCTATGGCACTGATATTCCACCTGAAACAGAGAAATGGCTAGCTTATTATAACCAAAAAAGGATAATGATAAATTTTGGATGACTGAAGGTCATCAAGATTATGAAACAAATTACCTCTCAACTGCTGAGGTCAACAGCTCAAGTTCATCAATTGTACCATACACATCATAGATATCGTCTATAATGGAAGTTATGGAGATCACTTTGGTTAAAAATCTTCTACCCATTAAATATTCCGGCTCAAAATACACTCCCAATATCCAGAAGTAACACTCAACAATTCTGTCTCTTGCAAAAGGTAGCTCCTGGGCGAAGTTTAAATCCTTCCACCACCTAATCACATAAATGGAGAATTAAGTTAATCATGGAGAATGTAAAATTTGCTATACCATGTATCTAATGGGCAATGCTATACCATTAGATAGTTCAGTAGAATGAAAAACTGCTTGAAATTAATCATGATTAAATTTTATTAACTTACTTTGTAATAGCACTGAGTTCCTTCTGATGCAACTTCTGTAATATGTTGAAATCTAACTTTGCAAAAGTTAATATAACTTCAATGTGCGAAGCTTCTTCGTGATAGATACTCATGTAATATCTTGCCTCCAGCCTTGGTAAACTCTTGCGAAGAGGTCGAGTTAAGGCATGCTTAACTTGCCCTGCAAGTGGAGAGCTGGGTTGAGTTGCTACCCGCGACTCAAGGTGATTGGTAGTGAAAGTAAGAGCTTCATCTAGTATATTTTCTCCATGAACCCTGAGATTTGAGGCTTCGTACAAGTTTATCATTCCTCGAACATCTTCTGCAAGAGATGCCTTGAAGCTCCCATTATTGTCCTTGAATTCGTTGAACACATCTGCTTATTCACGACACAACACACCACATCTACATAAAGTAATTAAGGAATTTATTTACAAAAAAAAAAAAAAAAAAAGTAATTGCCGAGGATAAAGAATATATAATATATACCGCATGAGATTTTATAACCATGTTGTCTAAGCAAGCGGAATTTAAGAGAGATTGAATACAAGTCATCAGTGTCATCTCCCGAATCACTTTCATTGTGAGCCTTATAGACGTCTTCTAAGATTTCATTAACCTCACTTTCAAAATGATAAGAGACCCCTAAGCGTTGGATTACATTAACCAAGTCAAGTTTTTGCAGAGACTTGTTTGCGTCATCCATTAGCATGCTTTTAATTTCCTCCTTCAGCTTCAGTAGTTTTGCGTTATCATCGTCACTTTCCTGAACAAGCAAAATAAATTGGTGAGAAAATATGTAAGACTTAGTTCTTATTGAAGAGAATTAAGTTTCGGATAACTCAGGGGTAATTTGTAAAATTTACTCGTCAAATACGTAAGATTATCACATCAGTTTGCAAAGAATAGTTTAAATGAAATTTATTTCATAATTATATAATTAGTTGTTTTTGTACATACTCAAAAGCATATTTTTCTCATAAGCAGTCACTAAGTACATAGAAATTAAATTAGAAGAAACAATTTACCATGGAATCAGTAGCATATGAGAGGAAATGATGCCCCCAGATGCTAGGATGATAATCAGCCGAGCGACGTTTAGTTTCTTCCTTAGCATTGTTTTTTACTGAAGAAGGAACGGCTGAAACGTGAAGAGACATTATAAGTTTGATTTCAAGAAAAAACAATAAATGGAGTAGAATGCTGAATATAGCTTTGTGCTTCAAGAGATAGTGAGTTCATAGAGTCTTCAAGCTCCTGTTATATAGACGTAGCTGGGAATAGTAAGAAACATGTTTTTCATTTAAATCTTTTTCCCTTTGGCTACTTAAAGGCCTCGGTGGCCAAGAGTAAGCTAATTCTTTATAATACAATGGATTTTAGATTTTAGTTATATAATTAGAATTAAGAATATGATCTCCCACGTTTAAGTTAACATGACATGGTGTGTTTATGGTATGAAGTTTTAATCTAGTAAGTTTTTTTTAAGATAATTGATAGAAAAATTAACTAAAAGCAGAACCACGATTAAGTTAACATGACATGATGTGTTTATGGTATGAAGTTTTAATCTTAAGGTATATTTTAGATATATTAATGTGCATATTCATTTAAAAAGAAATAATTATTTATATGACTCTATTTTAAGACTCAAATTAAAAGATAATACATCCTAATTGTCTTTGTAAGTAAGATCTTTGATGTAAATTATGAACGATTGTACTCTTCTCCTTCAATTCACTTCACTTCATTTTTTTCTTTCACCTCTTTTCTCCTTTTCTCTTCTTTATTCTCTTTGATGTTTTTAGATTTACATTTTTTATGTTGTTTGTATATGTTTAGGGGTGTATTTAATATAATTGAATTATTGTATGTTTAGGGGGGGGGGGGAACCTCACTTCTTAAAACTTGAAACAGAAGAATTGATTCCATAAAAATTGTAGAATCTCAAGTTGCTTGAGTTAGGGGTGAGCGGATTCAAGTACCCACTCAAATTCAAAGGAACCAGAACCAGCCAGTTCTTTGGATTTGGAACCAGAACCGGAATAGGAACTTGCCAGTTTTGATTCCTAGAAGCCAGGAACCGGAATCTGAAACACAGGTTTTGGTTTCGCTCTCGGGTACCTGATATAATTTCAATTACCCACCACTTTTTAAAAATAACAAATAAACACTCCTGAAACTACACATATACCCCCAATAGTTTACAAAAATTATAGTTCAGTCCCAATTCCTACAGTGGTGGAACCGGAACCGAAACCGCACAGTATTAGTTCCGATTTTTGAGAACTAGAATCAACCCTATGAGGGTCAATTTCAAGTAGGAACTGGAATCAGGACTCGGGGTACTAGTTGGTTTCGGTTTTACCCTAAAATTTTGCTCACAATGGGCTTGAGTTTAGTCTCTCGAGTGAGGAGTAATGATATTAACCTTGTTTGATTGGATCTTTCTTATATTTTATATAGGTGATATTTATATTTTACATAAAAGATTATATAAAATGAAAAATATTAATATGACTCATACAAAAGATCAAAACAGTTAACTTAAGTGAGATTAATATTATATACCCTACTCAAGTGATTGGACTCAAGTGATTAGACTCGAACGACTCGAGTTTATTCAAATTTTTCAGGTTTCTTGATTATCAATTTTCTAGAAAAATGAATTTTCGACCCATTTGAATTAACACAATTTTTTCTTTATTTCTTTATATACTAAACATATTCTTGAACATTTAATATATTCTTAAACATAAATTCTTTCAAAAAGTTAACCATAAAACCATAATATTCTGTCAATCGTAATCCAAAAGCAATGATATTTACGTGATTAAATATAACACTCTTGATTATTTAATTAAATAGAGCACGAAGAAACCCATTTTCTAGTCAATAATTCACTATGCTAAGAAAAACTATGAAAATAATTCTTAACACGAGATGGTCTAATAATTTGATTTATAATAATCAACCAACTCATTTTGTGATCACAAGTTAGCCACTGATGCTATGGCAGAAGATTATTCTTTTACACAATGTTGATGATTTAATTTTCTCTTTCGTTCTTTTTTCAGTATTATGTACATATGACATATCCTTAAAGCTATGTCAAAAAGGACGTGTTCTGATTTATAAACTTCATTGCCTATTTGTTCGTGGTTAGGTTTATTTCATTTAGTTAGATTGTTTAACATAAAGCATAGATGCTGTCATTGAAAAGTTATGTAAGTATGAGAAAGACATCTTTAGATAATATAAATAAACACATAACATCGTTAAATACTTTTCTAAAACATCTGTCAAAAGAGATCAAATATTTAATTAGAAACTAATCATTCGGTCAACAAATTTTGATTAAGATAGCACAACAAGAACTCCATTAAAATTCTTCAATTTCATTAAGTCATAATTAATATAAAATATGGACTGCATAGGTCTTTGTACTATCTGTTCCTTAACTAGGTATATACCATTTTTATAATCTATCAATTAATTGTTTTTGTACGTTGAATTTTTTTTTTAGTCTATATACTCTTCTGAAACGAATACTCTAATATTTAAAAGATAAATCAAATCTCAAAATCATGTTTTTGAGACTTTTGAGTTCTATTTATATTTTAAAGCCCCTTGGTATTCTTTTCTTAATTTTCTCTTTTTAAAGAAAAAAAAGTTCCATTCAATATTTGAGAATGAGTCATTCTTCAATAGTTGAAGAAGATAGATGGCTTAATGTAACTTGAAGATTCCTGGGCACATCGAAGGCTCAAACAATTAAGAATCATATAATATATATTTGCAATTATTTTGTATTCCATTCCTACAAAGCCAAAGTTTTTTGTGTTTTAAATTTTTTGTAAATGTTAAAAACTCTTCCCCTGTTCATTTCATTTTGCATTTAGAAAAAAAAAAAAATATTGTTTTAAGTATTCTTTGTTAAAATGCTATCAGTCAAAAACACATGATGCTTACAAAAAATGTGAAGATCTTTCTTGACACAATATTTGTTATTATTTTATTAATCTAGACTCTCCTCTTTTTTTCTTAACAAATAATATCTACCAAAAAGTCTTTTATTTAAAATCCCTCATGGGCATAAAACAATAATTAATTTGTGATTGATAGGATGATTTTTATTATTATAGTCTCACAATTAATTCCCTATTAAAAGAAAGAAAAAACTATTTTGTACTTGGTGCATGTTTAATCCAGTTTGGAATATCTCATGGTGTACAAGTTACTAATGTTGTATTAAATTAATAATGATGATAATGATAACCATCTATTAAATCACCTGTTAAAATCATAGATCGAAATTGACAAATGACTATAAACTTAATTAGGTCTAACATTATAAATTATATATTTAAGGTGTGAGCTATAACCCAATTGATCAACACAAACAAATATAAAAAAGCTAAAAGTTTTATATTAATAGATAACAAATATTTATTAACGTGTATAGAATTTATTCAAATTATAAAGTTCAAGGAATAAAAAATTTAAAAATAAAATAAAAATATACAATGTGAAATTGTGAATAACTCTTTCGGTGTCCATTTCATTTTGCATTTAGAAAATACAAAACAATATTGCTTTAAATATTCTTTATTAACAAAGAAATTAAGAGAGGGGTCCAAAATACGACGAACACATGTATATTGTTCCCATCGTTTTCATCTCAGAAAACATTTTTTATTCCTCATTATTTATTTTCGGTAAGTATATTTAATTAAATTTAAAATTATAAAATTACAAAGTAACATCAACCATATGTTTTGCTTTTAGTATGCTATTTGTCAACAGTTTATGATGTTCACTTACTCTTACCATGTACGATGTTCTGGAAGATTTAAGCAAAGTCCAATTTGGTAATCAACAATTTATTTTTTTTACTTAACAGAAACCGAAAGAAATTGAAAATGAAGAAAAAGGGAGATACGATATTATTGATTTGTAAAAGTAATGAGATTACAATGCTTAGGGATTTATATACACTGAGTTTTTTCGAAGGAGAGAAAGTTAACTGAACTGAAGTGAAAGAGTAAAGTAGCTAATAGTGAGCTAATGAAGTGAACAAGACAACCATTACAAAACGACACCGTTGCTTGTAAGTGACATATGTGAAATTACAAGCAGCTCCTCTATCTTTGATCATGTCCACTTTTCAACCTTTCACTAACATTCCCCCTCAAACTCAACTGCCTTACTTTGAACTCTGTGATCAACATGCCCCTGTAAACTAAACTATCCTCACGTAAACCAATGAAAACCGCACTTTGCCTCTGAGTAGTGCACTTCACTTCTTTTCACAAAACTGCTAAGGAACAACTGCACAGACTTGACATTTTCTTTAGAGTTCTTGATTCTTTATAGATAACTGCATTTCATAACATCAACTGAAACTGCTGCAGAATTTACAACTTTAGATCTAATTGCACTTTGCATAACTGCAGAACTGCACTTTGCATAACTGCAGAATTTACAACTTCAGAATTAACTACATTTTTCATAACTGCACTTCATAACATCAGCTGAAACTACTGTATCAACTTCAGAACTAACTGCATTTGGCATAACTATAGAATTTACAACTTCAGAATTAACTGCACTTCATAACATCAGCTGAAACTACTATATCATCTGAAACTGCTGCAGAATCTGTTTCAACAGACTAAACAACCACAAACTGCAAACTGCATATTCTGTTTTCTCAACCCTTTTTGCAAACAACAATATTCTCCAACTGATTATTGCCATTAGCTATTTACAAGCTGATATAAACTGCATTTACAAGCTGTTATAAACTACATTAGCTCAAGTTTTCTCAGCACTTCACAAACTACAATATGCACCAAACTTAACCTGCTTCTGCATATCCTGATTTCTTAACCCTTTGCAAACTGCAAAAATCATCACAAATTAAAAAAAAAACTCTTCACACTGCATGCACTTTGCACAGAACAAGATGCTGCTCAGCCTGCAGAACCAGTTTTCTCAATACTTCAAACACTTCACTAACTACAATATTCACCAAATTGAACCTGCTTCTGCATATCCTGATTTCTTAACCCTTTGCAAACTGCAAAAAAATCATCACAAACTAAAAAGAAAACACTTCTTCAAATTGCATGCACTTTGCACAGAAAAAGACACTGCTCAGCCTGCATAATCAATATTCTCAATACTTCACAAATTGCAGTATGTCACAGAA